ATGTAGTCAGTTTGTCATTCAATTAAAGGTCACTGCTGGAACCATTATAGTTTCTAAATTGCACGACAGTCGGGCATTTTGAAATGTCTGGAACCACATCTCTCTCATGCATCTCATTTACAAACTAACTGAAAGTCTGAAACGTTCATTCTTGACTAATTCACTCTGCATAGATTCTTTTTAATTGATGACAATTCTCAGTGAATGATTTTTGTGATGAAAACAATGTTAATGTACTACAATTAAAAAGGATAGTTTCATGTTTTCTGTCAATTTATCAACACCTTTAAAATCAAGTAAAATATTGATCAATAATTATTTTGTCAAACCACTGGTCCTGTTTGCTTAAAATGCACAAAGATTTTAAAGGAATGATATTACCTTGTTTTGTTTGTTTATTATTTAATTTATTCAGTTGCTTGTAACATGCACATCAGCTGCTATTCGTAGTAAAAGGTCATAACAATCAAAATCTATTGTGGGCAGAAGGCCAAAGGTATGGGATTCAGTCTGGAGACTGTAGCTAAATGTGGTATCATATTCTGGGGTTGAGTAGCAAATGAACCATTTTTATTTTACCAATTTATCCATAAAAAAAATACTAATGTATAGATGAGGTAGACAGGGAGGTTGGCACCAATAACCTACCCTCTCCAAATGAACATGTTGTTGAGTACGATTAAGTAATATCAAGCAATATCAGTGACTAAAAGCCACATACATCACCGAGAATGCCAGAACATACTACCATATATACATTTAGCTTGTTTGGTGGTCAGACAATTTGAAAGTGAATACTTTGGCTATGTATCACCAATGTGTGATTTCATTTTAAAGTCTTGTGCCTACAATTTACATACATGCGAGAACAAAATTTGTAACCCGTGACATCAGATATATTAAATGCATGTTGTACCGGTAATTTTGTTGTCTTGCCGTAATGAAGTGAAGGGAAAGTCATAGTGGTGAAATGCAGCGGCGGCAGAATCGTAAACTTTTTTGTGGACACAATAACTCCAATAATATTCAGTCGATTTCTATCAAACTTGTATATATAGTTAATCTATAGATATATTTGGCCTGTATAGATTTTAGAGTTGATTTCTTTAATTTATGAAGTGTCTATTGGGGAACTTCATAGTGTTGTGGTTAGGTAATTTGTTTTGTAAGTGGAAGATCAGAGTTCAAATCCCATGCTCAAAGAACTAAATTTATTTTATTTTGAAAGAAGAATTAATAATTTATGTGCATTTTTTTTTTTTGCCTATTTTCATTGTCTTAATTGATTTTCTCATTATCTTGAATATTATCAATAGAGGGCACCTTTTAAAGCGGGGGAGTTGTCATCTGTGCATGCAGCAGACAGCCATGGTG